ATTTTAAATGCTGAATTCATCTTTGCAATCAAAATGAAAGTCCTATAGTCTCGTGCACGGCAGCAGGATGTTGCTGGATTCTTGTTAAACATATGGACCAAAATTACCTACAGCAAAGAGATTATGTTTTCATCTGCGTTCAGTTAGTTAGGGACTGATATTTAGATAGATAGATAGATAGATAGATAGATGGATGGACGGATTTATAGATAGATAGATGGATAGATAGATAGATAGATAGATGGATGGATGGATGGATGGATGGATGGATGGATCCGTTTTAAACCTTTGTAAATGCAATATTTTTGACTTTTGCATCATTACTTGTACAAAACAAAACATCCTATGACGTCACTTTGAGCTTTAGGTCCCATAAGTAACCGTCTAAATCAGAACATGCCTGACCAAATAATCCATAATGGCAATATTCATTAGTTGCAGCCCTGGTTAGATTTATAGCTGTTTTTAAAGTGCGCACATGTTCACCTGTGTTTAACCTTACACCCTTTTATTATTGTGGGTGAGAGCAAACAACGCCAGAGTTAAAAATCCAGCCCACTTACCCTTTAATCCTTCGGTCTCATCTCTTTACGCTGATGTCACTGATTTAGTGTTTCCAGATGAAGTGAATTAAAGTAAGAAATCCTGTAAATGAAAGAGGGGATTGAAACACACACCGAGCCCTTCAGGTGACCCGCAGGTTTGATTTGTTACCGTGCGTGAGACAGGTGGTAATTCCTTGACAAGAGCAGCTCCATGATGAAAAGAGAACGTGGGCTCACTTTGATGCTCAGCGGCAACATGTTGGATAGACCCTGATAGAGAACATCTTCATACACTTTGAGAGGGAGAGGAGCTTCCAGGGAGGCCTGTCACTGACGCTCTGCCCTGAGTTCCTGTGTTTGATGTTTTCAAACCCTTCACACTGGGTTCAGACAGGAGACGATGAACACGTTTATTAGAAGAACATACAGAAAAGAAACACAGACTACTCAAGGTCCTACACCGGCTTTGAAAAACAAGTCGTTTTTTCTCCAATGTGCCTACTTTTAATAATCCGTAAAAGATTTTCATCCAATATCTAAAACTCAACTCAGTAAAATGACAAAAGAATAAAGTAAACACAAACAGCTGTTGAGGAAAATCAAATCAAAGTTTCTGGTTCCGGTGTGAAATTGTTGACGTTTTTTTAAATGCATTTTTTTCAGTTCTTAGTGCAACAAATCGTTTCATCTTTTTTGTCTATTTCTATTTCTATTACTTGTCGATTCTGCACTTCCTCTTCTAACAACCCACAAAAAAGCACCAGCAAGTATTTCTCAGTTTCACACTTGTGTATGGCACAACCGTCAGAGCTTTGTCCAGGGAGGCACCTGCATGGTGATGGTCAAAGTTTTGTTGGCCACGTGTTCGCCAACAGCAGTCTGAATTCTCCAAATATCTTCACACACGTTTGTGCCACGATTGTTGGCCACATTAGTACCTGAGCAGGTATCAACAACAAGGGACTTCGACAGAACTCAAATCTTTCCACTCATCTACCGACAAAACACACACAAACAACAGTTTTCTCTCTCCCTCTCCGTCCCTGAATGTGTTGGTGTCTCCACAGCTTCTCTACACCACTGATCAGCACCAGGAAAACGACCTCCCCACCATTTCAAAGAACAACTTGTTGGGCTTCCTGAAGTATTGGCAGAGCTTCTTGAAGGCCTGGGTGCTCAGGGGTGCGTGCGGTCGGCCTTTAGACTCGTCCAGGCACTTGTCATGTCCTGCAGACAGGAGGCAGTAGAAGCCCTTGGTGGTGTTGTAGTAGAAGTTGTTTGGGCTGATCCTGGGCGGCAGATCCAGAAACCTCTCGGCCTTTCTCAGCTCAGGAAAAGGATCCCGAATGAGTGCATCACCGTCCACCACGTGGATCTGCTCCCTGGGGAAGACCTCCAGCCAGCGAGCCAAATGCTGGTGGTACAAGCTCCTCTGCAGCGCCTTGTACCCAGTGTCAATGTGGCCCTTGTGCAGCAGGAGCTCCTCTAGTGGCAGGTAGGGCTTGTGGCGGGTGAGGCGGTTGTGAAGGACCTGGGTGTAGTCAGAAACCAGTCTTTCAGCTGGATCCCGCACGATGAGTATCAAGCGGACGGCGGGATTCATGTCCCAGACACGTGCAGGGACATGAGGAGCTGCAAAGTAGCCGGGGGTCTTCTCCACTGTCAGCTGACCAGGGAGGGTGAGGGGCATCTGGGCTCGGTACCAGGCGAGGCCTCGGCGGTAGTGCTCCTCTATGTTGAAGAAGTGCACCTGACAGAGGGACAGAAGGTAGATCAGTTTTAATGAAGACAAAGAAAGAGTGGAAAACTTCCTGTCACCTCTTGATGCAGTGGTTATTAAATGTTGTCTTTATAATGTGTAGGTCTTTCACCATCTATATAAATATTCCAGAAATCCCTGTTAGCCTGCATGTGGCGTGGATTTCCCCAGAACTTTTTATCTTCTTGGCTTCAAACTTGCCAATTTTATCCCTTTCAGAGAGAAAGTTGCAACTAGCGTCACCAGGCCAAGAAAACAGCCCAAGTATAAAAGAAATTCAGCCTTTTTCATTCGACCCCATCTTGTCCAATCTTTGCAATCCTCCCCTGGAGCTGTTAGAATGTCTCTTCTTTGCTCCCGTCATCTTTCATGACCATGAAGTCTAAATACACAACCCGCACGTCGTATCTACGCCTCTCTGCGCTGATGATGATGTAAGGAACCTCGTCTGCTCTGCTGGGGCTGCTGTCACTTGTAACTGGAACGACTGGTTTAATTGGGGAAATGGGAGCGAAACGACAGCACGTCAGTGCTCTCATTAACTGCAGCGGTGAAACAGATTCATCATCGTGCGACGCACACTTGCTTCAGCTGATCGGCCTGCGATCAGGATCAGCGTGTCATTGACACATTGACTTGCAACAGTCAGTTATCTCTAGGTGAAAACTTTGGCCTTCACAGCGTCACAGTTCTCATTACCGTGCAGCTGCTGTTATTAGGTGGATCTGATTGTGTTTTACCTCGGCCTTTGCAACCTCCACATCCGGGTGCAGGTTGAGCATCTCCAGCAGGGCCCTGGTGCCGCCTTTCCGTACGCCGATGATAATGGCCCCGGGCAGTCGCTGCTGGGTGGCATTGTAAGAGGAGGAGGAAGAGGACGATGAAGAGGAGTAGGCAGGGGAGCTGGAACCCCCGGTGCGTAATTCCCTTAAGCACACAGACAGCTGAGTCTGCAGCAACAGAAGCACCAGCAGCGCTAGTAGCACTGTCCACAGCATGGTGCCGCACACACACACAGAGGTGGAGTGGTGGTTATGTGCACACACTCATGAAGCTCCCAGACTTGTACGGATTTGTGCTCGTTATTAGTCAGCGGGGGGGCCTCAGGAGGGAGCTCTTCAATTTCACAACCTATGAGCCGAGAAAAAAAATAAAGGTTATTGGCTGATTTTGCCGTCTCCGCCACTTTCACACAACACAAGCAGATCAACAACAACACTAACAACACATCTGGCAAGAACACTGCAGATTCAATACAAGTTATATGAGGTCATTTTTTATGTAATTCAAACTAACTTATGAAAAATCAGCAGAAATAACTGCCATGTTTCCTGTTTGCAGGGGAGTTGATATTCTGCACCAGTGCCGTCACAGAGCGTCACTTCTCATCTCACATAGCTGCTTGATGATTTCATGGTCTCACATGTCCGAGATGTTCTGTACTCTAATATGCCATTTTACAAAGTCTCTGTCCAAGCACTTGTGGTTTCAGCTGAGCATGTCGGGCTGTGATGTGATTATGGCCTGAAGATTTTGAAATATTAATCGACATCTGAAGCAGCAGAGAGCAGATGCATTGAAAATTAATGCCACCGTGAGGGTTGTGGTCCCCCTGAGGAGCAGCAACACCCCTCTGAGTTCAGCTGAACCACTTTTAAAGTCGAGGAGACGAGGTGCAGTGAATCCTGAACGTCTGAACGCTGCAGTGTGTCTCCTGCGGTTGGGTTTAATCTGTATTCTGTGATGTTTCAGTCAGAATGATTTCAGTGTCAGACAAACACATCTTCACAGATGCATTAAAGCAGCTCATCTTATCATGTAAAACGGTTTTGCTTCAACTGAGCATCGAATTTCATCTCATCTGTTAATTGAGAATCAATTATTAGATAGATGGTTCTGTATTTTGGGGGAATATGCTCATTAGCTGTTTTGCCGAGAGTTAGATGAGAGGATTGTTACGACTCTCATGTCTGTATGGTAAATATGAATCTGAGGCCAGAGATCAGCTTAGTGCAAAGAAACAGGATGAAACTGTTAAATTAACGTAGACGCTGGATCCTCCATTGCTCTGGAATGGAAGGACGCATTGGTCGGCAAAGAGGCTTTGAAAGGGAATTGCTGTGAATTCTGGTCTATCTGTTCTGGTTCGATCGCCCGAACACCAAACTGCCCCTGACAGCTGTGCGGTGTATGAGTGGTGCTGTGTGTGACTATTGAGTGCAATTTGTACTCTAAAGTGCTTTTAGAGCAGAAAATCACTATATAAATACAGATGTTTGATTTCTCCCTGTTCAACATATAAAAAGATGATTTGTTTCGGGCCAGGTTCACACCACCGACATTAAAATGTTCCTCAAAGCGCTCGCAGCTGTAATTTTCTTTAATTAACACAACACACAGTTGTTAGTGAAACACTAAACCCTTCCTCTTGTTTTTCTGTTGGTCCCACTGCTTTTCCTGTTGTCATCGTCGTAGGTGTTGTTATTGTGCTGAAGCCGCCTCTGACACGACTGACTTATTAATTAGTGTAACCATGTTCTGCTTCAGAGGAGGAACCCTGTCTAGCTTTGTTCCTGTAGCCGAGCGCTAATTGTACCTTCAGGGAGCGTCTCTGCACCCCCGACCTTCTGTGCTATCCCCTGGCTTGGTGACATTGTCGTCATCGGTGTTGCAACCTTTGCCATCTCTCTCATCCTGTGTGTGTGCTTCTTTGTTTGTTGATGTTAGAGTTAATGTCTTTTCAGAGGCAGTTATGAATAAATATTCATATTAATTCATTCACACTTACAGTGTTTAACTAATGTTAAAAATGTACAGACATAAAGTCACTTCCATTACAGTAGAAATCCATAAACACTATATAATCCTTTATTAGTTAATAGGGAAATTTGCATAGTACAACAACATAACAAATTATACATCAGCAAAATAAAGAGCCTATACATCCAGGATACTGTTGCTTCATTTCTGAAGAGTAGTAGGAAGTGTAGACTATGTGCAGTGTGTGTGTGTGTGTGTGTCTGTGTGTGTGTGTGTGTGTGTGTCTGCACAGTGAGACACATGCCCTGTGTAAAGTGGTTGTGTGAGTCCCTTGTGACTCCTCTGTAAGCAGGAATATTTCCCCGCTGTCGAGTCGCTTCACTTCCACCTCGTGACCCTCCTCTTCCTCCTCCACCTCCTCCTACCCTCCCGCTCACCTTCCCTTGTCCTCTTTTACCCTCACCTTTGTTCTCCGCCATTTCTGTAACCCAGTTCGAATCCGTCCCTGTTTACGGGACAGCCAACAAACCCCTGTACCGTGTTGATGGGGATGCCCTGCAGCAGCCTCTTAGCTGCTCATAAATAAAACACAAACACACCTTTCTGCCCTGAAATAGCTTTTGAATCAATAAACTTTTTGATCTTTGTGAATTGAAAATGAGATTTAGAAATGAGAAGCGGCTCTGTGTAATGTAATGAAAACCTCCACTTCCTTCATGTTTTTCTGAAATATTTAGAAAAACATATCATTTATTTACGTGATATAAATTCATCTAATTAAAATTCCTTGATAAAAATGTGGTATTTACGACTGAAATGCAACAAATTTCTTGAAATATACACAAATTAAGTCATTTCTAATGAAAAGAGACAATTGAATTGAAGGTTTTTCCAAAGAACATATTTTAGACTTTCATTGGCGTGTGTGTGTGTGTGTGTGTGTGTTTTCTGCTCAAACTATATTCTATATTTATTTCCCACAGTTTAACTCTATATGTACAGCTCTGAATTTATTTTGGAAGAGCTGTTGCTCTAAAAACAACTTGATTGTCTCCCTGCAGATGAAAACTGTAAAGGATTTTCAGATCCTTCATTGAGTGTGTTGTTGGTGCAAATGACACAAAATCAAAACAAAGTGGCCGAATTCGTTTGTGCCACTCGATGGCTGAGCACATAAGCTCTAAGTTAGCCACTTAGCTTCTGCTTAATGAGGCTCACATGAGTCATGGCTAGTCCTTGTCTTTCCCACTCATTGCTTCACGTGATTCGCATTAGCCAGCATGGACGGGCAGAACAAAACAACAACAATCACAACAATGCCAGGACTGTCAATGATGCGTGAATTCTCCATATTGACGAACACGAGTTTCTCGCCAGGCCGGGGAAGATAGAGATGGCGAGAAAAGAGAGACAGAGGGGGGAAGGGTGGAGTGTAATTATCTGTGAAAGGCAGATGCTTTCATCTGCGTTTTGGGAGAGTCCCTGTGTCTTATAAGTTTGTGTGTGTGTGTGTGTGTATCTTGTCTCATCTGCATGTGAGCAGCGCCTTTGCCTTTTGTGCGAGAGCGCAGCGTGCGGCTGCCTGTGATCCAGGCCCTTGGAAATATCTTTTTTACTGAGCGATGGTATTTGGGGGGGTGGGGGCGGGGGTAAGGATTATCCTGTACGGAGAAGCACAGGGTGGCAGTGGGGGAGGAGATGGGCAGGATGGGGCTGAGGTACAGTTGGCGTGTGTGTGTGTGTGCGTGCGTGCTCTGCGGGAGTGTGTGTGTGTAAGGAAGCAGGGAAGATTGTCCCTGGTAGGGGGCGGCATGGTGGAACGCTTTGAATTGCCAAGGCTGTCACATCACAGAGGCTGCGAGAAACAGATAAAACTTTCTGAGTCCTTCCTTCCTGTCTTTCGTCTTCCTCTCAGTCCCACACCTCTCATCCATCACCCTCTCACACGATGCCCTCCTTCCTTTTTCTTTATTTGCCACAGGTCCCACCTTCATTTCCTCAGCCATTCGTCTTTCTTTCCCTCCAAACTTCCACCTCGGGCCGCACTCTCTCGCTTTTCTGTTTGTCTCCGTGTACCTTCTTGAACCCCGCTCCCGCTCAAGCAATCACGCTCGCTCATCACAGCCACAGAGATGATTGCCTTTCAGAATAACAAACGTAACGAGGCTGCTCTTATTTTCCCATCTCGTTCCCATTACCGACGAGGAGCGGATATGGCCAACACTCCGAGGGGGGTATGTAATCAAAATAGAAGAGAAGACGGGAATCAGTCATGCTTCTAAATCGGGTCCACCATGGGCGTTCGTTCCTCAGCTGTGGCACAGAAAAGATGGCAGACGATGAAGAGTGGGAATTTGGATGGTGGTTTGCAGTGTTTGACGATATGGATTGAGGGTATGGATAAAATAAGCTAAGCTTTACCCGTCTCAGAATGATACAAAAATCTTTTTCAAGTCCAGCAAAGTGCCCGATCTCCTGCCAGGTCTTACAAAGTTCCCAGATAAGATGAAAGAAACATGAGATGTGAATGAGAGAGTCAAAAAGAACTCGTCTCTATTGAAGAGAAGGAGCTTCGCGTCTTCACAGCGCTTTATCTGTGTGAGGAGTTCGAGGCACCCTGCACCAGGTACTGAGCCCGAGGAGAGATATGCGCACGTTGCCTGCACGCGTGGAGGGATTGATCTTTTCCTCAGAGGTTCAAAGTAAAGACGAAGGCAGAACTGTCCAAGTGGAACTTGACAAGAGCCTCTTCCTCTCTCTTTATCTCTCTCTCAGAAGTTTGTCTGTGCTGCCAAAGCTCATAGGGCATTGTTAACAACATCATCTGCATAAGTTCTTAAGTCTTGGTTTGGTTTGTGCTCAAGAACGACTTGGTCAGAGATAAGGAAACTTTATCGACATGGTTATAAAACAATCTGATGAGGCGCTCCGTGCAATATGGTGGTTTTTAATGTGCTATTGAATTTCAGTGTTGAATGTCAAATGTGATCTTAGGGAGGCTGTGTGCTGCTGCAATGCCTGTGTCTCTATCTTTCTCTCAAATGCCCAAATGAGTTCTCCCAAGGAAGACGATAAAGGTGAATATCTTATTCTATCCCATCCCATCCTATCCTTTCCTACCCTGTCCTATCCTGCACCATCCTATCCGGACCTATCACATCCTATTCTGTCCTAATTTCCTTTTATTGCATGCTTTTAAAATCTTAATTCTTATCCATGGTCACACTTCAGCTGATCCCAGCTCCCAGCAGTCATCATTGTAGTAGTTCAGTGTAAACTGTTTATCTAGAATGAAGCTACAGATTGCTGGCTAGTGTACGAACCATGTTATGAGTGATTAGTGGAGTGTCCAGCTAGAAGCAACAAATTAACCGTGTCCCTTCAATCCCTCTGACACGTCCACGTGATTGTGTTTGCAAAAGCAGCAGTGACGGACAGAAAGAGGAGGACTCACTCCTCCCCTCACCTCATGTAGGTTTATCTGTATGTGCAGGCTTTTATCTGTTTCTCTCGCTTACTCTGACCTTCTCCGAGGTCTGTCCGTCTTTTACCCATCAGCCCCCTGCTGGTTTTCGATTAGACTCAGAAGAAGAAACACACACACTCCGAGCCACCCAGAGGCCCACATCCACCACCCTTTCACCCCCCCCCCCGCCATTATGTTACTCACTCACACATGCATAATACACAGAT